CTTTACCACCAAATAGTTGTTTATATCTGTGGTATACCTCGTAGTTGTATCTCCTCCTCCAAACACCATTTTCACAGATGTCACCAAATATTCCTCTCAGGATCTTTCGTTCAAATATAAGCAAAAGGTCTTCGTCTGCCTTGGAGATGGTCCATGTCTCCGATCCATATGTCAACACTGGCTGTATAAGGGTTTTGTATATAGTTATTTTTGATTTTTTGGCTTAAGTTTCAACTTCTCATATGTCTACTCAGTCCAAAATAGCATCTGTTTGCCATTACTATCCTTCGCTTGATTTCTTCCGTTATGGCGTTCTCTTTGGTGATCAAGGAGCCTAAGTATGTGAATTTGTCAACCACTTCAAAGGTAGAGTTATCAACCGTGAATTGGGGACCGATGTTCCTGGCTCTATTGTTGGGTGTTGATGCCATCATCTTAGTTTTCTCCTCATTTACTTGCAGGCCCATAGATTTTGAGGCATTTGAGAAGGTGGTACACATTTCTTCTAGCTTGCGTGTTGTGCGGGCAACTAGGTCAACATCATCTGCATATGCCAAAATTTGGGATGATTTATTAAAAATATTTCCTCTGTTGTCTATTCGGGCATCTCTGATCGCCTTTTCCAGTGCTATGTTGAAAAGGAGACACGCCAGCGCGTCTCCCTGTCGCAGCCCAACATGCGTTCCAAACGCCTGTGATTGTTCGCCCTGTATTTCGACTTTGCAAACCACATTACGCATTGTAGCCTTAACCAATCTTATCAGTTTATCGGGGATGTGGAATTAATTCATTGCTTCATACAATTTATTTCTTAGGACACTATCATAGGCAGATTTGAAGTCTACAAAAAGATGGTATGTATCGATATTAAATTCATTGGTTTTTTCCAGTATTTGCCTTAGCACAAAGATCTGATCTGTTGTTGATCGACCAGGCCTAAAGCCACTTTGATATTCCCCGAGAAGTTCCTCTGAATATGTACTTAGGCGACCATATATGATCCTCGAAAATATTTTGTATGCTGTATTAAGGAGGGTTATTCCCCTATAGTTTCTACATTCCAATTGGTCACCTTTTTTGTGTAGCGGGCAAACGATTCCAATATACCACTCTTCCGGGATTTGTTCCTCATTCCAGGCTCTCAGTATTATTTTATATATTTGATTAGTCACAGAAGCACCTCCACATTTGATAAGTTCCGCGGGTATACCATCACTTCCTGGAGATTTATTGTTTTTTAGGTGTTTTATTTCATCTCGTACTTCTTGAATTGACGGAGGTTCTAATGGTGAATTGTTGCTTGCTCCTCCGGGTGGTTGATTTGGATCTGGATCTTCTACTTCTATAGTAAGTAGTTCTTTAAAGTGTTCCACCCACCTTTTCAGTATTTCTTCTTTTGTATTTAGTATATGCCCCCCCTTATCCTTACATAGTCTGAGCCTTGGTTTGAATTCCTTTCTTGCGTTGAGGGGATAAAGGGGTAGAATGCGAATATATGGAGTTGATTCCAGTTTACTCAAATTAGCCTCTTCTACTCAAATCCGACTCCCACCTTCACGATAGTGTCCCCTGTTAACCGAGCAACCCAGCTGGAGATCCGGTATCCAACCCCGGGTGGAAAGTTGGGTCGGGAACTGACGAGAGCGGGTGAAATGGCCCTCCCAAAAAGGGGGTTTGGCGTTGGGTTAACTACCCAACCCTGTAAAAACCCATAGTTACGAAATCTAAAGTTATAGTTATTTTACTTTAATTTTTTTATGGCATTTATCAGTCGTCAAGCATCTGTGTATTGCCTGCCACCTATGTTTTTATTTATTTGCATACATTTGCAGTTCCATAAATTATTTTTTTCTTTTGAACTGTGGTGCGTACTGCTTGCTTTATTCTGTTGTCTTCTTCTTCTTCTTCTTCGTCTAGCCATTCACGTCCACATCTGAACATAAGCCTCTTCAAGTCTTCCTTTCCATTGTTTTTTATTGTACGCTACTTGTAGCCAATTTTTCCCGGCAGTCCTTTTCAGATCATCTGTCCATCTCATAGGAGGTCTGCCTCTGGGTCTTTTGTGTTGGTATGGTCTCCAGGTTAAAATTGATCTGTGCCATTTGTTTAGATCGCTCCTAGCTACATGTCTACATGTCAATGTACATATTCTGTTGTATTCTATATAATATTCATTAGTTTTAGCACTTAGACATTTTTGGTAAAGCTTCTGCTTTGTTGAAACTGGCTTTTCTAATTGGTCCTTCAACCAGAGTTGATTGCTTGGTTTGGTTTTTGGATTATAGTCCTAACACCTCTTTTGTACTTTGATGCATGACACATAATATATTTTTTATATATTTCTGTTGTGTCTTCTAAGTTGAGAAATTGATCAAGTCGTCTCTAATATACTTCGCTAGTGCTTTCATGATTAAAGCTTTGTAGGTTATACTTAGGTTCTTCAATTTCTTCTAATTGCTCTTCGATTTGCTACTAGTGTCTTCTGATCTGGGGAACCATGATTTTACTTTTAACTAGAAAGTGGTCGGAATAGCAGTTTGCTCCCCTCATGACTATGATCATTCACCTTTAGCTGTATAATATGCAGCTGCTGTTATTTCAGCAACAATAACGTTGCTGCAGTAACACTGATTTTAGATTAAGGGTTGGTTGTATGTACCTGAATTTTTGTATATCTTTGTGTTTGAAAAAACCATTGGATGTATTTAATCCGTTATTTTGATATTAATTGGCCTGATTCAATTATCATTGCAAGTATCTTCTCGGTGGGAACCAATAAATTAACTATTTTCGTGACCAGTTCTGCCACTGAAGTCGTCAAGTATTATTACTTCTCGAGTAGTGCCAATCTTTTCAATTACTTCGTGGAGCTTTTAGAAGAATTCTTCTTCTACAACAACTGGTTCATCACTTGATGAAGTTTATATGGCAATAACAGTGATTTTTTTATGTTCACCAGAAGAATATTCCAACTAATGGTTAGACTCCTCTTTTAGATCTTTGGTCTTTAAGTACTCCACTATACAAGTATACGTATTGTCTTTGTTTTTATATTACAACACCTTTTTTCTTTGTATAAAAAGTGCAACAAGGCCTAAATTAATAGTCCCGACGTTTTTAATACGATGTCAAATTTTCCGGTAAGTTATTTTACATTCCATGTTCTTATATTTACTGTTTCTTTCCGTACCCGTTTTCTTCTTAGGAGTTTTCTATCTCTTTCTCTCTTTCCAATGGTGTTACAGCCCATATCGAGCCTTTGCCTCCTCTAAACTAAGCCTCTAACCTTGCTGACCTCGCGTCGATCTTCTCCAGGCTCTCACATCTAGCAAATTTTGCGCGTCCGCTACCATTTCATCCTTTTACGTGGCCAAATATTTTTAGTAGTTTGCGTTTTTCTAGTGCTGGAGAACCATCCATTTTCACCATCTCCATAATGTACACTCATTACAGGCGATGTACCCACGAGCCTTACCAATCCTTACCCTTACCAAGGAACAATACAGTTTCCTAACTGGATGAATAAAGCAATAAACGAAGATGAATGAAGAGGAAAAGGTTAACTATTCCATCGACCTTCCAGGTTCTTTCTTCTTTTTTTTTGCATCAAGACTGACATTATTGTTGCTGGAATTCAGTCATGAATGCTATTCATTACTGTTGCTGGTTATTCAATTTGTTTTAAACTCTGTTCTCTCATTAAATTTCATCTATAAGTCCTGCTGATTTGCCATCAGTCAGCAGAAGGCACCAATACCTGATTTGCCAATGTATACCCGCCTATTTTCACTAAGCATTTCACATTCATAGAAGACATGTATGGCGGTTTCTTCTTCCATTTTACGCGCCACATCCACTCACATTTTGTGTTGTAGAGCTGTTTCTTCAATCACGATTGTTTGCAGTTCTCACATGCTAAGATTTATTAAAGAATCACGATCGTTTTCAGTTCTCGCCTGCTAAGATTTATTAAAGTAGACTAAAGCCTAGTTGTAATCTCAATATTGCTAATGATTTTCTTAATACTATTGTTTGAATTTTCATGGAATGTGCTGTTTTGATATTTTATATATTATAACCTAATCGGTTTTAAGAGGGTCAGTTAAAAAATACTTCGGTACAGAGTCGGTCGTAGGAGTGCCAAAAAGCACCGCTGGCGACCTAAAAACACAAAGCACATTTCCAAATGTATATTGTTCAGACATGAAATAATGCGAAAAAACAAGCAGGAATCAGATTGAATACGTAACAGGTTTTCTTATTAGATTTGCGCAGTCAAGGGTCACCTGCATATAATGGGGCTGTTTCACGAAGACTTTGCAAGAGCAGACTCTGTAGCAAAGAACTGAAGTAGTCAACGATATCTTGCATGATTGCGAGTAACTATATCGCAGGCGGCAAACAGCGACTCCAAAAGTATATGGAACATATCCAGTAGACCTGTACACGTTGACACAGAGTTCCAGAATTCTGGAATATGTATCATGAACAAATGGAAAATGTACAATAAGCCAATTACCTGCATTACGAGCAGTTTATTTATAACAGACGGCATCCAAAAAAATGAGTTTTAATTCTAGTTTGTTTTGTAGTATATCTATTTGTTTTTTTTATCAAAATGTACTTTAAAAAATCCAGTAGAGTTACCTATTTTTGTCTAATTATTCTCTAAATTTTAATACATTAAGATTTCCGTTAGAAGTTATTGTAAGCTAATTTTTTATTGACGAAAAGCTTATGGGCTATCTATTTTATTATCAGAGTAACTGTTGCGGTTTTCTTTAATTATCTTTAACAGCATTTATATTAAGGTAATATAATGGTAAAGAATATCCACAGCTTATAAAGTAAACAATGAATTGGAAAAAATATTGGAGTCAAGTACAGGAAACAATTGTAGAGAAAAAAATCAGACAGAAGAAAAAACACACATAATATAAGGATAAGAAAGTTAAACAACATGAACACAACAAACACATTCAAAGCGGAAGCTTACAAACCTCATCATCGTCAGTTCCATTTCCATTAGCGTCTTGTAGATTTAGCTGATATTGGGGCATGTCGATAGAACTTCTCCTACTGCTATCACTACTTTCTGCGGAAGCATTGTAATCAGTATCACAGATATCGGATGCGACACTATTTCGGTTTTCAGTACCACATACATTAGATCTGACACTTAGCCTATTTTCTCTCTCCTCTACTACTACCTCTCCATCCTCGTCATCTTCTTCATCGAGTCGTGTCATTTGTCTGCTACTGTCTTCTGGCTCTTGATCGACTATAATTGCTGGTACGTCGGCCTGATGATCATGCAAATAAAATGCTCATGCAGGTTTCTATTTAATGTTAGTTAAAAATGTAACAATTATGTTTTACAAGAAGCAATAATGATGTTTTTGATAAAAGATATTAGACTACGTCGAACAAATATATAAGTGAAAAATGCTCATGATACACTTATTCATGCAGTGATATGTTTTAGTCGATCCCGGAATTTTGGGGTGATTATATTGACTACTATTTCAAAATAACTAAAAAAAAGGATGTTTTTAACGACTTCGACATAGAAATAATTGTCAAGCAATCCACAGGACATTCAAAAACATGTCTGAGTGGAGAGCAACATAAAGGCACATTAATTAGCAGCAGTTGACAATAAAAAAAAAATGGGAGAAAGGAAATTATTTATCTCCATGAGAAAGCATATTTGAACATCAAACCGAGATAATCTAGCAGTATGAAAATACGTTTTATAGACTTCTTCTCCACGCTTCTCTAGCGCAGCACATCTCCTCATCCAAGTTCATCGCATCCATTGCCTTTTTAATTTTAGTTGCCCAAGTAGTGCTCGGTCTTCCTTGTTTCTTTCTGCGGGTTTCCAATTCCATGCTGCTTTCGATAATCTTTCCTCTCCCATTCAAGCTCTTTATAGCGTGTTTCCCATTGTTCTTTTATGATTTCGAACCCAGATGTTTGATTGTCCCTTCTAATACTGTTTATGAATTTTCAGGCTTCTGTGCACCGGGTCCCCCTAAATATGTTTCTACTTCACTACATTTTTGGTCGAATGTTTCTCTTTTTCTACGTACTATTAGTTTGTTGGCCGAGATTCTTTTTTTATATAATCCTGTCTATCTTCGTGGTATCCATATTAGGTAGGACTCTTTTTTTTATTTAATTTGTATTTCCTCCGTCCACCATATATGTTTACCTATCCTCTGTTCTCTACCTGTTTTTACTAAGACCAGTGGATTGCTTCCTTAATGTGTCTATATGCTTCTTCTACGGTATCGGATTTCTTGTAGTTTTTCATCTAGTCTTTTCTGATATTATTCTTCCTACGCTCTCTTAATTGAGGCTTTCTATGTTATAATTAACCTTTTCAATAATCCCCATTTTTACATCTCCCTATTGCTCTTTTGCTTGATTCTTAAAGTGATAAAAGTAGAATTTATCTTCAACTAGGATATGTCGTTAACATGGACAATCACAAAAAAGAATATGAATATACTTAGAGTCACTCAACACGCGATGGAAAGAGCAATGCTAGGTATATCACTTACGGACAAGAAAACAAACACATGGATGAGAGTCACCGATGTGGTGCAAAATCATTAAAGTTGAAATGGGAATACGCTGCACAAATGGCACAGATCAATTTTAACCTGGAGACCATACCAACACAAAAGACCCAGAGGCAGACCTCCTATGAGATGGACAGATGATCTGAAAAGGACTGCCGGGAAAAATTGGCTACAAGTAGCGTACAATAAAAAACAATGGAAAGGAAGACTTGAAGGGGCTTATCTTCAGATGTGGACGTGAATGGCTAGACGAAGAAGAAGAAGGATATGTCGTTGTATAGATGTTATGTTTATAGAAACTGTTCATTATTCAAAGATCGTACTCTGCATACAGATCTTACTTTATTGACATTTACTGTATTTTCCCATGCAGTCTCACTATCTTATGAAAATCTAATCCTAAAAAATCCTAGATGAGAATTGGGAACAATTTAGGAGGTTGAAGAGGAAATGGGCATTAAAATAAACTCAAACAAAACCAAATTTTTAGTGTTTAGCCGTGACCCACATCCCGATTCAAAGCTTCAATTGAACGGAGTCCAAGTTGAGAAAGTTCACAAAATTACATATTTGGGAACTGTGATAACGGACCAACTAGATCCAGACATAGAAATAAAACGTAGAATAACAATCACTAAAACTACTTTTATGAAAATGAAGTCATTGCTTTGCAATAACCATTTCAGTTTAAAACTAAGGCAAAGAACGGTTAAGTGTTATGTTTGGTCTGTACTTTTGTATAGTGCAGAAGTGTGGACGCTAAAAAAATCGATCATGAACAAAATTTAAGCATTGGAAATGTGGGTTCATAGACGAATGCTGAAGATACCTTGGACAGCAGGAAAAACTAATGAAGAAGTACTAAGGAGCGTCAACAAAGACAGAGAACTGCTAGACCGTTAAACATCAAAAAATGTCTTATCTGGGACATATGGTAAGGGGAAGTCGATATAAAATTTTACAACTGAACCTTAAAGGCAAAATAGAGGGCCGTAGAGGTGTAGGAAGAAAACAAGTTTTTTGGTTAAAAAACATTCGTGAATGGACTCAGATACCATTATTCTGTTAGTTCTGATATGGCACGCGAAGAAGAAGACCAAATGATAATCAACTTTTAATAAACACCAGGACTGAAAGTATATTGATCATGCTTTAAGTTCAGCTCCCAGATAGATTAATGAATAAATTCTGAACTGATCCCTGCTTCTTTTTCGCAGGTATACATTTAACCATGTGTTTGACCGAGTGTACTTTCTCATTACGAATTATGTTGCGTTCGAATCCAGGCCTTTTTCATGTTATCGTCGCGGATTGCGTCTTTTTACTTGGAACCCACAGCAGTGTGACATTGTTATGTTTGCCAGTCTGTCGAGTTCTTCTTGGTATTCCCATTCTAGTCTAGAGTCCACTCTAAGAGCTCTCGTGGGAGCTTGACTATCTGTGCATACATACTATTATAAATATGGACTTGTGTTCACAATAACAGAGGCGATCATTTGGTAAATAGAATTCTTGCTAATAACACTAACTTTTTCTTCTTCTTCTTCCTCTTTATAAGCAATTCTGCTTGTTCATTGGCGGATTAATACCTCTATGGAAGGTTGTCGCCCCCATCTTTTGCGCGGTCGTCCGATACTTCTTCTGCCGATTGGTGACTTATCTCTTGCTATTTCGACGACACAGGTCTCCTCCATTCTGCTAATGTGGTGGTTCCGTTCTTTTTTTCTATTTTGTGTCCATTCATTTGTACACTGTACGTTACATTTTCTTCTGTCTTCACTTTTCTTTCGATCTCTCAGCGTATTTCCTGTAATTATTTTCAGTACTCTCATCTCTGCCGTTTCCAGTAGCCTTTGCGTTGTGGCTGTGTCCGGTCTTGTTTCTGAGGCATATGTCATTATTGGTCTTACACTGGCTTTATAAGTTCTTGATTTCATCTCAGTGTTAATGTGTCTGTTTCGCCATATAGTGTTATTAAGGCATCATATCAGAAGGCACGCCATATCAGTTTATTTGTTTTTTTGTACTTGATCTCTCTACAGGTCTATAGCCAGGTTAGTACCCTACTAATAGACTTTAAAACCAAACAGCTCATACAAACAGGAATACCACTAACTGGTAGTAATTAATATCTTTTATAAACTATCTAAAAGACACCTTTATACACGGAAGTCACCAGCGAACAAAGATAGCAACAGATAGTCAGAAATCAGATTGACTGAGTTTATTGACACTCTTAGATCTTCTTCTTCTTCTTAGTCGTTAACCTGATGCAGGTATCGTGATATCATGAAGCTATTAGCTAAATTTCCCAATGTTCCTCAACGTTTTTCTATCTTCTGCCATTCTAGCACATTCTGACAATGGAGCGTCAATGGTAGCAACAATATGGTCTGTGTACCGTGTGGGAGATCTACCTCTATTTCTTTTGCCTTCTACTTTTCCCTGGATGGTAAGTTTTTCAAGACCATTTCTTCGAAGCACATGTCCAAAATAGCTTATTATTTGTTCTGATATTTGTGTTCTTAGTCTTTTCTTTATGTTTAGCTGGTCCAGTATGGATTCATTTGTTCTTCGGGCCACCCATGGTATTCTCAGCATTCGTCTCCAGCAGTACATCTCAAATACATCTATGTTCTTTTTGTCTTTCTCAGTAAGGGTCCAGCAGTCCGATGCATAAGTAAAAACACTCTTAGATACCGAAACGCAATACAAGTAATCGAATCATACCCAAGATCTGATGTATTTTATGATCATGGCCCATGTATTGCTGGATTCCGACTTCAATTAAAAAATATACAAATAAATCAGATCACATCACAGCAATCAAAAGATACAAATAAATCCAAGCGTACTCCAAGTTCTGATCTATATTCTGATCACGAGTCACTGGATGACAGATGAGATTTTCCAGAGACCATGAAAGAAATTCAAGAAAAGCAAGATCCGATATCAAGAGTTGCAAAGCATACGAAAAGGAAAACAAAGATATTCAAAAGAACTCTACTATTCAGAAAAATGTAAGAAAATAGAGAACTTGAAAACAAATATGACAACTTCAATTTGCACAAGAAAGTAAAAAAAACTAGCTAAAGTAAGAAAGAGGAACACATAGGGAAGGGTTATTATGGAAACAACATAAATTATGCCGACGGAAGGCATTCACAGACAAATTATTTAAGACGAATCTGTCCGACGGTTACGCCAGCCAGCGTGCTCATTTATGTTAAAAGTCTAGTTGGTTCATGATTCGGATCTCGCAAAATAAAAAGTTTACATTAATAGCATACATCCAAAATGAATTTTCGACTTAAATAAGATTACACCGGTGCATTTGATCGACCTATGGATGAGTAGTACTTTAGCTCCTTTGAGATGCGGACTTATAGAAGGATTTTGAAGATCTTATTGGTGGATCAAATTATGAACGTTCGTAAGTAGAACGAAGAAAGAAAAATAAGTTGAAAGGACAATAATACCTCAGACATATAATGCGTTGGGTTTACACACCGGTCAATATTTTTCATTATCTCCTATACATCCAAGCGTCTACGACCAAATTGGGTACGGCAGTACAATCTTATGTGAATATAGACCGGAACCATATAGTTGATTGATAGTCATTTAAATTTATTGATTATATAATATGTTTTGAACTAACGAATAAATTATACAATACTCTAAAAGGTTTAATCCAACCTAGTAACATACACGTC